TCAATGTACACTCGGCACAAAAAGAATAAGACCCCAAGTTGCATTTGCAATTTGACTTCCCCCTGGAATACGAACATTTTGATGCATCAAGAGTTTCAAAATTCGAAAATTGGCGGTTTTTTTGCATACACATAAATCCTTAAAAAAGTCATGGTCCCAGCCATTTTCAGTCTGACAACCTGATGCCAGAATTTTCTCCTTATGAAGGGCTACATTTTCAGCTTTTGTTGGGCGACGAGAAATGCCTGGGACCATGAGATTTTTGGGGTCAAAGTTTCTGTGGGAGTGACTTATACGGCAAGTGCCGTAACAAACGAGGGCTAATGATATACCAACATTTAAGTTTTTTATATTTTAATAAGACAACATTTAGATAACCCAGTATACTTAACTAAATAAGACGCATGATTGTGTGAGCGCGGCAAAGTGAGACGGATACGGCACTGACGCGCGATAATCGCGGATACCCACCAGAACCCGAATCTCACTCTGCCTCACGCTAAATATGGAAAAGAGCTTTGTAGTACTCTTGGTCTGGTTTGTATGTACAACAGATCGGCGTCTTTGAAGTCGTAATATGTCGTGTGTGCAAAGAGGCAACTTTTTTGGGATTTCTTCATGCCTTTTTGCCGTTTTCAATACATTTTTGTCATTTTGATGCCTTTTCGCCTTTTTGATGCCTTTTTGCTGGATTTTTGACGATTAAACCCGATTGCTTGTGGTGTATACATAATACGTTTATAACGTATTAAAGAAATTACAGACTACATTTTTTAAATTGTATTGAAGGATCCTGGCTTTCATCGATACTTCAAATTAGTTGAGTACTTTTGCTTAGAAATTATCAGGGTTTTTACATCGTCATCGCTTTATAATCAAATTGTGGGCTAAAGATCATATTTGGGAAAAGTATAAAAACCCCAATGAATAACTTTCACTTAAATTTTATCAAAGATAAGGGTTGTGTCTCATCTCGCCCGAATTAGCAAAAAGGCACCCATTTTTGTGGGGCAAGAAGGCACTGCCTGTTTGCTCTGCACACACTGCACTGGTCGTTATATAGATAAATGCCATAAATAATTCAACGAATTCTTAATTAATAGCTAATTACAAAAATTAGCAATTAAATTTATCCTAATGTAAAATTAATAATTAATTAAATTTATTAGTCTCAAATTTTTAACTATACCGATCCAAGTTCCATTCTCCAGCTCGAGGCCAGTTCCCCCGCCGCCTTTCCAACCCCCACTCGTCCCCATGGAGAGAAAAGCGTTATACGTAAAGTTAAATTTGACCATGAGAAACTGTTCGAACATGGTTTTCCACATTCCCCGCTGAGCATTGTTGACCCCTTCGTACGGCGGGAGCGCCTCGATCCGCGACCTGATCGCGGGAAAGGACACGCGCAATAAGTGGCCCTGCAGGTTAAGGACATAATTGGGAAAGTAGTCGAAAGTGGCGGGCGATTTGAGCGGCAAGGTGAGCACGACGGGGTGACCCGCGTCACAAAAAAAGCAGACGGATTTGATCACCAATTCGTCCCGATTTTTATCGAAGGAAAGTCCCAACTTGTATTTGGTCTTGGCCGGAAGTGCGGGTGAAAGTAGGAGCGGTTCGAGCAGGGCGGGATTTAGCGTTACGTACACGAAGGGATCCACATCTTTGGCGACGAGGGGGAGATAAACGGGGGAAATTGTCCTGAAAATTAAGTACACTGTTAAGGAATTTGCAAATGAATGAACAACAATTTTGGATCGGCGTATGGTCCTAGTTTGCCACAGATTTTAAATTGATGGAAAATTTGAAATTTTGTGGCCATTTCTGACCTAATTATGACCTCGGGAATGTAATACACTGTCACAAATCTGGATTGTCGCTGTGAAAGTATTTGAAAACTACTTAGACAATTCAAACAGTCAGCGGTAACTTTGTAAAATCCGCAAATTTTGTAAAATAATTTTGCAAATTTTTACAAAATACAAAGATCTGAGCAAGTTTATAATTTGCTTTCGAAAATTTGTAAGTAAAATTTTATAACAGTTTCGAACTTTACAAACTTTACAGTGAATACCAAAGCAAAGCATTCGTGAAAAAAAATTGGCAAAGTTGTCAAAAATGGTATATTTAAACGTCTGTATTAATTTTAGAGAAAGTATAAAATTGTTGATGTTAATGTGTCTAGGTTGTAGTTTTATCTTTGGCAAATTGAAATTGGCCACGACAAGATAACTTGGCATTTATTTAGCAAGTAGAATTAGTTTCATAAGTCGGCATACATACATACATCGCAAAATATAGCTTCTCGCAAAGAAAGTCTACTAATCCTAACTTATACACACATATATTTTGACCAAATTAGTCTTAATCGATCAGAAGTTTAGTAAATATGCAACTTGCAAAAGACACGATATCCCAAGAGGCACGAAATTTTTATCCGAATTTGCATCCGGAGAGGAGAAAACCCGCCATAATGAAGTCGACAAATTTTACACTTAAATGAATGTAAAATGAATGTAGATTGATTTAATCCGAAGAAGACAAAACCCGCCATAAAGTCGACAAATTTTACACTTTACACAAATTTATTACGCATTTGATATATACGCACAAATAACAAATTTTTCTTACTCTTTAATTTTCTTCGACCACTCCTCTCGCACTTCCGTCACCATCACAATGACCATTTTGCACACTGTCGCGCGCAAATTGTAGATTGGATATGGTACGGAAAACTTGACTTTTTTTGACGAATTTCCAACCGAGTTTGTCTCTAAGATCGCGTTGTAATACGCGACCACACCCACGCCACGGACCACGTTACCTACCAAGTCATTAACATCACTATTTTCACCCTGTCGCACAAAAAACAGCTCACAATTTCTCGTCTTGGCCGAACTGGGGTACAAATCGGTTAAAAATTTGATTAACACATTTTCTTCCGCGGGGGACTCAAGGGTCGGGAATGGGACGAGGACGACCATGAGTAATCTAACGACCAGAATTCCACCCTTTTTAGGCCACATCTTGGTAACGATGTAGTTAAAGACTTCGAAGTGAAAACTGGAGAAAGTTGGAGACCACGTTTCTTGGGGGCAGAGGAACACTGTAAGAAATCTGGTGTAGCCAATAGTTTTTCAGCCTTAAAATTATTACAGTTTGGTATTCAAATTATATTGTTCAGTAAAAAGTTACTACCGATATAGTGAAACTGTAATACCGAGCTATAACTTCATGGTTTTAGTTATCAATTCCACTTTGGTAGAGTCATATACGAATACCGCTTGGTATAATTTTAATACTGGATTTCTAAGAGTATACGAATCAGTTAAAGATTTGATTCATAAACTTTCCCCCTGGGGACTTCAGGGTTGCGAAGGGTCGACCAAGGATGACCACTAAATTAGCTACCATCATCCCTATACCCTGGTAAAAATCGAAATGAAAGTGTAAATAACGGGAGAAAAAGGAATCGCATGTCCCACATTGACACCTCTCTTGTATCAAAATTTAATTTGTTCTGTACCATCAGATACAAATAATTGATAAGATGGGTGTCTTATCTTTGATGGTTTCCAATATAATTGACGCTTTGGCCACTCTTCGCGAAATTGTTGATGCAAAATTTACCAGATTTGCGCAATCAAGTCAGAATTGAAAGCCCAATTGCACGCAATGTTTGTGTTTCGTTGCCATTGGCTCTTTAAAATTCTGACTTCCAGTTTGTTTTTCGGACGGTTCAGAATTAATTGATGGGCGATCGGCCAAATTTAACGGGTAGAAATTGGCTTTTTCTGAAAATTTCAGTTTTTTATGTGGTGCTGTTGGGTAACTGTTATCAAATCGAGTTAGAATATATGTATATTATTTCTGGCTTCTTTGAAATAATTTAATCTAATAATTTAATCTTAATTCTTTGAAATCCAGGATTAAATAATCCCAAGAGGTATTCGTATATATGGGTTTACCTTTATAAAAGTGGTATTGATAAGTAATACCGTGTAAGAATAGCTCGGTATTAAAGTTTTACCTTATCGGTAGGAAAGTTTTACAGACTGGTATAATTTTAATACCAAAGTGTAACAACTGTAACAACTTTAACGTTCATAAATTATACTCTACTCAACTTATGTATGTACTGTGCGGGTGGAGCTTGTGAGAAGTGACGTCAGCTTCATCATCCAATCAAAGATTTTCTCCATATTATTTGAACTTAAATGCGGAAAATAAGCTGTCAAAACAAAGTTTTTCATCAACACATCAATACTAATTGTTTGTTTTTAACAAATTGCAACTAAAATTCTTATGGTTGACACATACATATCATTAAATTAATAATATCATAATGCTGCAGCCACAGTTACTACACAACCAAAAACCCCCAAGGGCCAACCGAACTACAATTACTAGTGGAACTCGAAAGATCATTCGAAATGTGTACAATTATTTAAAAACTTTAGATGAACACGGACCAGATGAGAATCATCAACTTGCATTTTTATCCAATGGGAAACGAAACGTAAGTACTACAACTGGACGATACTTCTTCGACTAACCTTAATATAAGAATAGAAGGTTCAAAATCCAATTAATTGATTTACACGTTTGCTTCAGATTGCAGGGATCGCAGCGTCTATGCTAGGAATCCATGAAAATTCTGTGAGAGGTTGTATTAAAAAACAACCTAATCTAAACACCCCGCCTCGAAAAAAAAGAAAAACGAAATGGGAAATTGATGATTTCGATCAAACCGCGATACGAAATTTGGTTTATAGAAATTTCGAACAAGGTGCAAATATGCATGCATACATTTTAATAAATCACTTCATTAACGATTTATAATATAAATTTCAGGAGCACATATCACGCTACAAACGCTCTTAAACGAAATTAATGAGAAAATCGACACATTTATTGAATCACCCATTAAAATTAGTATTCTACGGATTATAATGCATCAAATTGGATTTGAGTATAAAGTGTTCGATCACAGATTACGATTAATGGAAAGACAAGATATTGTTGAACAACGTAAAAAGTATTTGAAGTAAGTTTTAATTATCGTGACTCATATAAAATCGATAGTTATTGAAAACGAACCGTCATATTGCATGCTTGAATAAAACATACTTAATTTGGACAACATGATCATACTCTTTGTCCGTGATATTAATTTAATTATTGATGAGCATTGCTGAACTTAATTCCTATTTGACTAGATTTTTAACAAAAATGTAAAAGATGATAAACTCAGTCAAGCGCAATTTATTGTGTTGTGTACAATTTGTTGTGTATTTTAGACGAAAGAAAGAAATTGATGCCACCAATAAAAATGTAGTGTTTTTGGACGAAACTTGGGTCAATAAAAATCACCAAAAGCAAAAGGTTTGGACCGACGGTACCGTCAAATCGACACCAAATTGCAAAATCGGAAAGGGTGATCGTTTAATTATCACGCACGCTGGATCCAAGGACGGATTCGTGCCGAATGTTTTAAATATCTTTTGTTCAAATACCGGACAAGCGGATTACCATCAAGACATGAATGCAGAATATTTTGAAAAATGGTTTGTTGAGCAACTTTTAGTATCATTGGAAGAGCCAAGTGTCATAATTATTGATAATGCCAAATACCATTCAAGGAGGTACTATTTCTAACATTGAAACTGCATTATAATTATTAGCATGTAAGAGTTGCATATGTACGACTTACAAATATAAATTTTACAGAGTCGATGCTGTACCTACGTCCAGTTCGAGAAAAGGCGTCATAATAGAATGGCTAACCAGCAAAAAAATCAACTTCCCTCAAAATGCAACCAAAGTTCAACTATACGACATAGTTAAAGCTTTTAAGCCATTCAATGTTGAGTACTATATTGACAAAATTGCAGAAGAGTATGGTCATGAAGTTCTAAGGCTCCCTCCTTATCATTGTATCTTTAACCCGATCGAACTGATTTGGGCAAATACCAAAAATTATGTAGCTACACATAATGTGACCCAAACACAAACAGATGTAAAACAATTATTTATAGATGCATGTAATAGAATAACCAGTGATAATTGGTGTAAAGCAGTAGAACATTGTAAGAAAGAGGAAAAAAATATTGGAAAAAGGATGGCATTTCTGATAAGCCAATAACTCCCATAATTATCAATTTAAATGATTATACCGATAGTGAAAGCAGTGACACTGAATCTGAATAAATAAAATGTATTTTTTGATTGTATGATGGGTATATCATGGTGCCCCATTAAAAAGAGCGTGACGTCACTTTTCGCAAGCTCCACCCGCACAGTACATACACAAGTTGAGTAGAGTTTAATACCTGCGTGACTTTTGCAGATTCTACAAATTATATCTATTTTCTAAGGAGTAGTAAACTTGTACATTAATTTAATTATCGACGTAACAGTTAACTCGAATATTTTGCAAATTCCTGAAAATTACATTCTTTCAAAGGTATGTATTTATTATTTTAAAATTTTGTGAAATAATTTAAATTGTATTTCAAATTGTTTAGTCGACTTTAGATAAAGTCAGATTCTGGACTTGGTTATATAGGGATAGCTGAGAAATAAATGCCGTCAAACACGTAAACAAATAAGTAATTAAGACTAACTAATAAACAATTTAAGACAATATGGACATGCTCAGCTAAATATACTTGACTGTTTTCACACCAGTTCTTCGTATGCAAATAATTACCACTGCCAAACGTGACGATTGGGAGATTGGGCATTTGAAAATGGCTTATTAATTAAATTTGTCATCAATTGACACTAATTTACTCAAAATCGGAGAACATACGCGGAAAGAACTCCATTGTCGGTTGAAGTAAAAAAAAACAAGCTCAATTTTAAAAAAGCGTGAGTGAATTGTGCAAGTTTTAAGAAATTCAATGTCACTCGTGGGTGTATTTTCGGTCTTGTTTTTCAGGTTTGCGTGCCTATGTAGATTTCATTCATACATTATGACAGTCAATACACTCTAAAAAATCAATAACCGTTGGTATTGATACGTGACTCTACCGCGTGGTATTGATCAGGTATTGAATTAATACTACGTGGTAAAAAATTTAATACCAATTAGTATTAAAATTATTACCATGAGGTATAATTTCAATACCGGTTTTATACTAATATGGTATAACCGTTTAATACCAAGGCGGTAGAGTCACGTATCAATACCGTTAGGTTTTTTTCAATACCACGTTTCTAAGAGTGTAGTGAAGTTGGTATCCTGGTCTGAATTTTTTGGAAATCTTTAATCACCGAAAGTGCTTAGTATTTGCAGGATTTGCCCTAAAAACAAATACGTGCCAGAAATTACTGCAAGAAATCATTTTTTTATAGATACATTTCTTGCAGTACTACACTAATAGAAATCCAGTATTAAAATAACACCAAGCGGTATTCATATATGACTCTACCAAGCGGTATTGATAAGTAATACCGCGTAGAAATAGCTCCGTATTAAAAGTTTACCCTAGAGTTAGTTCAACATGGAAAGCCCGTATCGCCCAAAATGGGCATAGTGAGATTTATGCAAATGAGGTGACACGCCTAAATACGAGGATAGTATGTTGGTGTTTTATAAGTTGTCAACCTGAATCTTAAATTCTAAGTAAAAATAACTCTCCAAGCATTCATGAAAAAAATAGAAATTTGAGGTTAACAATGCTAAATTTAAACGTCCATGTAAATTATTCAGGAGGTATAAAATTTTGCCATTAATGTCTCCAGGTTTTTCCGGCTCCTCTGCCACAATGTTATTGATCACACAGATTAAGGAAATTTGCCAAGTCTGATTAATTTGATAAGTCTAATTGCATCGCAAAATACAGTCTCTCAAAAAAATACGTCTCCCAGCGCATGCTCTCCGATTTTGACCAAATTAGTCTTAATCCATTACAAATTTAATAAAGATGCAATTTTTTGAAAATGACACGATCTCCAAATGGCACTTTTAGCATTTACATCAGAAGAATTACCGGTCTGAAAACAGTTCAGCGTGTCCATATTTTCTTAATTTGTTGAAAGCTTTTATTTCTCATCTCAACTATTCTAAAGTTCATAATCCAAAATTCATCACACAATTCTAAACATAATTTAAGCACCTTAGCGAAATTTTGAAATATTTTTGTTTTCAGGATTATACAAAATAATCGAGTTAACTGACGATGAGTAATTTTCACGCCGATAAATAAATTTGTGTATAAGTTTAATACGTTGGGTAGAAAATAGGTATCCTGTTTCGGAGTGTTGAAGTATTGATTTCTCTGTTCGGTGACGATTTGCCTACAAATTAGATATTTAGAGTGCAAATCTCAATGATTGGCTTAATTTCTGAAATATCAAGAAATATTTGTAACTAAAACTGTACATCGAAGAACAAAATCTTACAGAATTTTACTTGTCATTTCTTAAAACCACTTATTTGACAAATAAATCATTTTCGAAATATATAATCTTGAGAAATAAAAACATGTGGGTGTTGTATGTAAATTTTGAGAAAAAATACCTTAATTTCCTAGAAAGAGTTTTGAGTAATGTTCGAATTTGAAAAAAATTAAATCATGTCCGTGTCATTTTTACAAAATTCGATTCTGCCAAATATTGGCAAAGTCACTTAAATCCTACATTTTGCAAAATTTTTAATTATCTTTTACACTCTTTTTGCACGACTTCAAATTTTTCCTTGTCTAATCGCATTTTTTACATTTTCACACATTGAATTATTATTCGTTATTATTTTGGTTTCCGAGGTGCAAAGAGAAGTTGAAACTTGGGAACCAAAAAAAATTTGACTCGAAACCGTCAATTTTAAGCCCTCAAACTCGAAAATCTTAGGAAGCCGAAAAAATACGATCTCATTGTATTTGTATATTTCCATCTTAAATATTCATTCAATTTTTTATCGACGTAATATTTAGTCAGTAGGCTAGAATATTTTTGCAAAATCCGTAAAATAACCAAAGTCACTTCAAAGATTGCAAGGTAAGAAGATGCTAGAAATCTTTTACTGGGGGTTCGATATTTTTGAAATAAATAATTCCGGATTGCGAAATTTTAACATTTGCATTTTTAACATTTTAAAATTAGCTCTCAAAACAAACTAATTTGTATATTTTTGTTTCTTATCTTAGTTCTTCACTTTTAAGCAGAGTTTATTTACATCAATTATTATTTTTTATTTCTAATTCATTTTTCATTTTTCATTTTTCATTTTTCATTTTTCATTTTTCATTTTTTTAGGGAAGTGCAACTTCTATCTGTTATAATCTAACAAGAAAAATAAATTCTTTCGTAAAATCATTCTCGGCGTAACATTTAGTCACTGAGCTCATCTATTTAAAAAAGCAGTAACAACTATTTGCAAGATTATAAAGATTTGCAAAGAAAGACGTGGCAAAAAAACCAATTATTTAGCGGGGACTTATTCTTTTAAAATAAATAATAAGTTCGGATTACGAAATTTGAATCGAAATTTGGACATTGACTTTAAAATGCGTATGGATTTCATGACTGATTTTATGTATCTTTCTCAATTTTCGACAAAGTTTATATACATGCACAAATTAATTTTTGTAAAAAAATCACGTTGCCGAAACGACGGTGATCTGTTATAACCATCAAAATATGAATTTCATGGTAATCAAATTCTTGCAAATGCTCTGAAAAATCCTTTACATCTGTTATACTCTAACTAAATGAATTTATTAACAAATTTTTTTATCGGCCTACAATCACCCATTGGACTGTAATACTTTGCAAAATCCGCAAAATAACAAATGTTTACAAGATTTTGGAAAAGCAGATGGAGCTACAAAATTATGTAGAGGGGACACATTATTTTGCAGAAGGGATGAAGACTAGTAAAGAAGTAAGCAGTTGATTCGTAACTAATTTTAAATCAATGTTCAAATTTCGGTTACAATTTCGTAATCTCAAATTATTAATTACTTTCAAATTGGTCAAAAACATGCTTTTTGTTTGGTATTAGTCTTTCAAAATTTGAATTTTCATTCGTGCTTATCAGAAAAGAATACAGGAGAGCAAGAATATCATCTAAACTCAAATTAAGGTAGTAATGAATCATTGCCATGCGGAGTGACTATGTGTCTCTACCACGTCGGTTACGATTTATCGTAGAAATGGTAATAATAAGTTCAGGGAAATTCAAATTTAATACATAATGGTATTCACTTCCTTAATATTTAGTAATGAATTTGAATTTCCCTGAAATTATTATTACCATTTCTACGACAAATTGTAACCGACGTGGTAGAGACACATAGTCACTCCGCATGGCAATGATTCATTACTACCTTAATTTGAGTGTAATTGTTTAATGTAACAATATATTCACACGTTAATAAATTTATCGTCGTTAAATTTGACCGTTTCAGTCGATTTAAAATTTAATAAATGTATTTACATGTTTTTCACAGATTATTAACCTATTATATAAAATTAATAAATTAATTATTCAATCAGTTTTTGAATTTCAACATCGTCCTCAATCTGAGGACGATTTAACTTCATTCTGATCTAGGGCACTCCCCTTTTACACTTCGCACTTGGCGCTCCCAATAATGGGTGACCAACTAAGTAGTTGGTCACAGGAGTTGCAACTCCTGGACGAAAACTCCCGCGCAGCTGAGAAGACAACGGGCGTAGAACGCGCCGGAAATGTGTTTCAAGGTGAGCTCGTCGCTCTCCACGAAGTCGGAATGTTCCAATTTGTCCGTTTGATTGGTTGCCAGCTCCCAGGCGCGTTTTGGGAGGCGGACATTGTAATACATGTCTTGCTCCTCCCATAAATTGGCGAAATGAAAAGGGCGCGTCCAGGCGATCCAGCGGTCAAAACCTTCCTTATAGATGGAGCCACCTTCGAGGGCGAGACCGTTGAAGATCTAGGAGAAATAGGGGTCAGTAAGGTCACAGAAATAGCAAAGTAGTTCATAGTGAGGATATTCATTTGGAGTTGAGTTCGAGTCGTTATCGAGGTTCGCCAAAAAAAATTCGCAGTTCGAAAAAAATTTTAGCTTGAAAAC